CGTTATGTTTAAACGTTCTCGGGTTTCGAGTGCGCAAGCTTTGAAAGCATTCCGTTTATTTAGCAAGCTCGCGGAGCCCGGCGTTGTTCTCATTGTCTCGTAAGAACGTGTCCGTTTCTTAAGAGGTGAGAAAACCAACGGTACGACCGTTGGTACGACGTGAGCTCGAGTTTGTCGTGGTGTCGATTCGCGGGATTTATCACATCTCCCTCGGATACAGCCAAGAGCAATGAAATTGCGAACGACGCGGTCAATAGTCCGCTCAATTTGCCACTCCCATTTGGTTTTCCAAATTGCACTCACACAGAAAAAGGTATCTGTGTCAAATAGTGTCGTTTTAAAAAAGATAGATTTAAAAGTAATTTCCGAATATCATTAATCCTTCGTTAAGCTGGAAAAGGTGAACAATCGAATAGAAATTGATTAGTATCTACTATTATATATCTACTATTAAAATTAAAAGCGTAAACTATTAGATTATTTACATACGCATCACTGTATAATATTTTCAATAGAGAATTAAAAAGTCTAATCTGCTGGAGCTAAAATCTATTTATAATTTCATAAATTTAAGCTTTTAATTCTCTATGGAAGGTAATATACAGTGTAAAAAATCCAATAGTTTACATTTTTTATTTTAGTAATAAGTATACACTGACCAATTTCTATTTTTCTTCCCTTCTAGCTTAATAAACAATTAATTATAATTCGGAAATTATTAGTCATTATTATTAAAAATCGATTTCAAAATTGTCGAAGAATTGATCATTAAAATTCTTTTATATTCCACGTGCATGTATTCGGTGCTATTCGGTGCCTGTGCGGAGGTGTAGAATGATAGTCTTTATAACCTACAATTCGAACCAGCTATTTTCACTCTCAGCGGGTGAGAATGTCCCCTTTTTCGGGAATGAATGTACTGTTTTTCACTCCCGCTCGAGAGTAAGAGTAGTAAAACGACGACGTAACGACGCCATCTGGTGAGTCAAGTTATTCTACATGGGTAGTATACTAAATGTTACTCGTGAGGTACTCTTTTTTTGAGTGCACGAATAGCACCG